CATATCCAACTGAGCCCCACCATGGTTTTGGGGCGCAGATGAGCAAATTTTAAGAATTTGAGACTTTTAGATGCCGCAAAATGACACTTTATTACATAAAACTACGAACATTACTATATACCTGAGCCCCGCACAATGGATGAGGCTGAGGTGAGGAAACTGTAAGAATTGGGGTCATTTAGATGCCAGGAATTGCACTTTAATACTTAAAATTTATGTCGGTTATTTTTTAACATATAAAAAGGGCCACTATTTTGTTTTCAAGCTCTTAAGGGGAAGGTGCTAAAGGCATCCTGAGCATCACGATTCCCGCGATACGCCACCGCAGAGAAATATCTTCCCTGTCACTTTTTTTCGGGCACACCCGGTTAATAATCAGCAAAGTTTACAATTTTGTTATGACTGTTCTCCACAAATCTCTGTTTTCCAAAATTTTGTTTTTCTGAGCATGTGCAGATTGTGCTTATCTGGCTCATTAGCATAACAATACCGCACATAAGACTAATTCAAGTTAGACGACTTAAACCAGCCAGCTTCCTATTCTGGTAACAATCATAAGTCCTTGGATTAAGGACCACAGGTTGTGAAACAGTGAAAACAATAGAAATAAAAAGAGAAGGGTTTTCAAATTTTAAGTCTGTGAGTGCCATTTCCTGTCATCTAGATGTGCCATAATCATAATAATTAGTGAATAGAAGTGATAATTGCTTGTAAAAGCCAGTCATTGGTAGGAAATCCTGGAAGTAAAGCCACAACCTAAAGAAAGCGTCGATCTTTCTCGGCCCAGTAGCACGTTGGTGGTTTTTTTCCGCTTGTTAATTAAACTTTGACCCAGACATGCGCAGTTTAATTTTATCAAATAATAGGTCGTCGCGAAAATCGATAATTTGGTAGCTGGACCCGTCACTCTGTGGACATATGCAAATGAGACAAGATATCCTTTGCATAAGTCCTAGGTCCAAGGTCGTCGCAAATCTGAAGCTCCCTAATACCGTATACTCGCGTATGGCGACCCGCGTATAAGACGACCCCTGAGTTTAAAAAGATTTTTGATTGATATGTCGGGCGTATAAAGACGACCCCCTGTTTTTATGGTCGGAATTCCTAATTTTTTGTGGTCCTGATACTGCATCTAGCTAGCTAAATGGAGTCAAATGCAAGAGCAATCTTCCAAATAATACGGTACCATTTTATGAGTTTTTAAATCTTCACGACAAAATTCGTATTGCCTTCATTCATACAACATTTAGTTGCTTCCTTACAGTAGTAAGTTGCGTGTAATTACGGACGATCCGCACATAAGACGAACATGATTATAAAAAAATCTAAAATTTTAATGTCGTGCGTAGGCTGACGACCCCCTGTTTTTCGATCGTCATTTTGCTATTTTAAGCCTCGTCTTATAAGTGTGTTTTAAAACCCCCGGGTCACCTGAGCGTTAGAGGGTTCCCCCGTGCAGTGGCGGATTCAAGGAGACCCCGGCCCGGGCCCCCGTAAATATTTGAAAATTATTTTTAAGAATGGAGAGAAAAAAACTGAAAATTATATTCAAATCCTGAGTGCCATTTCCGGCCATCTAGAGGCGACGTAATCTTAATTTTCTTACCTCAGCCCCAACCATGGTGGGGCTGAGATGTCTATCTGTGAAGGTCCCCCTCTGGTCATCCTCTATTTCCAATTTCTGGATCCTCCACTGCAAGGACCACCCCATCTGTGCGAAGGTCATAGAAAATCCTGGATCCGCGCCTGCCTGTAGTAGGCCTAGGCTAGGTTAGTTCCACCTAGCCTGAATACTATATTAGTCTGAGTAGGCCTATAGTCGTGCGTAGTCGTAATCGTCTGAAGTGTTTCATTATTTCTTTTTAACTTTGTTTTTCCTGCTGTAAAATACCACGACAATATCGGTTTTCGGATATTTTATTGAACTCTGGAATGTTCGTCAAAATCGAAAACCTCTTGCTCAGATGATTACGTACCTTTTTCACAAACTCGATCGCGTTTAAGGCGACGCAAAATTCTAGAGCATGCGTAAAAACTACATAATTTTGGGAGCGGCGGGCAATATTTTTTTTCCTATATGAGAATTCCCCTGCCCCCGGCCCCCACTGGCGCCACCCCTGCAACTTATTGGCAAAGTACTGTAGGACTTTTGATAGAGAAATATGCCAAGATTTCCATATAGACCTAACTGTGTATTATTGTGAATACAGTTACTTAGGAATCTCTAAAAATGACCATTGTGTGTGGGGAAACAACAAACATTCAACTAACCCTGTACAACAAGTATTCCGATACTTGCTGATGGCATACAATAATCAAACCTCCTTGATAATAACAGCCCATCCTAGTAAGATGGTGCGAGTGGAAATAGCTTATCGGGGAGATAGGCTATGATGGCTTATCTTAGTAAATATTTTGTCTTTGAAATAAACTTCTTGCATAATATGAATTCTCATTTGTTACTAATTACCAATTATAATTATTTAATATTATTTATTATTATGAAATATTTCTTATGAAATTAACTAATTAATAAATGTATTGACACCACTATTCAGTAACTTTCGTCTTCTCTGGAGAAACAGAGTTAGTGGTAAGTATTAGAAGCATTTGGTTTTCTGAAAGGATTTTGGAAGAGGCTTCTGCTTACTGCGCTACTAGTACATAACATGGTAGTATTCCAGCTGATGCAATTTTTATACCTCCTTTGTAAGATTATATATAGTAAAAATGAAATAAAATGATAATTGCCTTAGTAATTATATATATATATATATATATATATATATATATATATATATATTTATATTTCAAAGAAAGGTAAAATACAGTGTTCTTTTCTTTGATGATTACGCCGAATTACTGTACTGCATTTGTAGGATATTGCTACACTTATACAGTATATTTTACTAGACCTTTAAATAGTTAGGCCTAATCATTGAACGGTTAAATTACAACTGTTCCCTTGGCCTAAAAATGCCCTCTAGGCGGGCCTCTAGATTTCGAGCTTCTATTAAGAGGAATGGCTCAGCTTCCCACGTCTCCGTGTTACAACGTGTTTCGTACGATGGCCCACAAGGGACACAATGCAAAGAAAAAGAAATGCTGCAAACAAAAAAGAAACGCTGCAAACAAAAAAGAAATCATGGAAACAGAAAAGAAACGATGCAAACAAAAAAGAAACGCTGCAAACAAAAATAGAAACGATGCAAACAAAAATGGAAACGATGCAAACAAAAATAGAAAACACCAGCAAACAAAAAATGAAACGCTGCAAACAAAAAAGAAATGCTGCAAACATAAAAGAAACGCTTCAAACAAAAAAATAAAAACACTAGCAAACAAATAAAGAAACGCTGCAAGCAAAAAATAAAAACACCAGCAAACAAAAGAAAAAGTACAAACAAAAAAAGGAAACCCTGCAAACAAAATGGAAAAGCCTTTGCGCGCGCGCATTTCATACTAGTTGACAACCATAGAGCTATTATTATTATTCTTATTATATCTCTATGTTGACAACAGACTGTCAGGTCAGATGAGAGATGCTAAAAAGAAGACTCAAATTCAGCTCATTCGTTATAATCGATTTTGAGGCATAAATACAAAGTAATCCGTTGGTAGGATTTTCCTAGCTCTTCCTTGTATCTTTGTAAGGAAAATACCTCCTCACTACCTGGCAAAAATTGCACTGCACTTCTGTCAGGGTATAATAGAGTAAAAGCCTCTGGGAAGCTGATGAGCTCTTTGTGCAACTTGATCATGTTTTCGGCCCCTTTTTTTAAGAGCTCCTCCATTCCTATCAAAGGATTTACTTTCAAGGGAAGAGTTGATCCCCTGACACTTTTCAGCACACCATCACGTTAAAAGACCGATCTGTATGGTGACCTCGGGGTTTTTCTCTATTTTCGTTGACACGGCTTTCTTGGTGAATCTAATATTCCTTTCCTTTTCTTTCTTATCTCTGAAAGCCTCAAATGAGAGACGAGCAAGCTTAGGCCTACTTGATGATGGACTTTCATTTGGACTTGGTCGTTTTCGTGTATTAATACTAGAAGTTGAGTCCTCCATTATAGATTCACCACAAGAATGGCAAAATGTTTTTCTCCCAATCGTGATAAAATAATGAAACATGTACTTGGCAACTGTTTTATGATGATTTTGAAATACTTTCAATAAGATAATTGAGAAATAATTGGAGGTCTTCGTTTTTCGAGTCTTCGTTTTGTAGACACCCATATAGGGTGTCTATAAAACGAAGACCCTTGAAAATTTCACAAACAGACGCCCAAAAAATGTCGTAAATTTGATTTTGTGACAGCATACATGGCGTATTATCATCAAAATGAACGTGAGAAAAAAATAGGGGTCTTCGTTTTTGGGTCTTCGGTCGTCGTTTTATAGACACCCCTTTTTGTTCCACAGTTAGAGCAAAACATGGCTTGACACTATGATGTAGCCCCCTGCATCTGACCTGACCTCAGTCTGTTGTCAATTAATATGAAATGCGCGCGCGCAAAGGCTTTTCCATTTTGTTTGCGGGGTTTCCTTTTTTTGTTTGCAGCGTTTCATTTTTTTGTTTGCAGCATTTCCTTTTTTGCTTGCAGCTTTTTCTTTTGTTTGCTGATGTTTTTATTTTTTGCTTGCAGCGTTTCTTTATTTGTTTGCTAGTGTTTTATTTTGTTTGCAGCGTTTCTTTATTTGTTTGCTAGTGTTTTTATTTTTTGTTTGCAGCGTTTCTTTTTTGTTTGCAGCATTTCTTTCATTTTTTGTTTGCTGGTGTTTTCTATTTTTGTTTGCATCGTTTCCATTTTTGTTTGCATCATTTCTATTTTTGTTTGCATCATTTCTTTTTTTGTTTGCAGCGTTTCTTTTCTGTTTCCATGATTTCTTTTTTTTGTTTGCAGCGTTTCTTTTTTGTTTGCAGCATTTCTTTTTCTTTGCAGTGTGTCCCTTGTGGGCCATCGTAGTTTCGTGCCTGACTGTGACTGACAGCCAATCAGGCTGCTTAATTCTTCTTTATTGGCAATTCTCGTACTTTATAGGAAACAAAATAATCGCGAACGGCGGTTCAGGGTTGGCAGGGCACGGCGGGTTTACGAAAGCACCAAATGCAGCGGCGCACAATGCATGTAGCGACACTTCCAAATAGTGGTGGGTCGGAAGTAGTGGTGCTAATGCGGTTGGAAGGTAAAGTAGTTGTATTAATTGTTTACCCTTTAATTGAGAAATTATTTGCTGCCTGATCGTTTAAGTCATCGTATGAGCTACTTATTACGTTCTCTAAAGCAAACCAGTCCATTTTTTCTGTATGACTACCATCAAATATTATGTAGGCCTCTTGAACGCTATCTTTGTAAAAGGCAATTTTAACCTGAAATTAAAAAACACACAGTATGTGACATTTGTCTTCTTTTC